GCATGTTTTGGGATGAGCCAGGTATAGATAATGTTTTTACGAACGGGCTTTCTTTTTGCTATTTTACGTCGTAGGGTTTTTCTTCGCGAATTTTCTAGATCACTTCTGAGCCCGTTCGTATGGTCTCGTCCACATTCCCAGTTCAAACAAGCATTTTGCTCAGCAATCTCACTGGAAGTCGCTGCATTCCTCAAGTGCTTCTGTGTGTGCGTTATTTTAGCATTCTGTTCGGTTTTGGATGATGTTCTTGAATCCTTTCAGGGATTTTTGAGTGTTTTATATTTTTCATAACTCTATTAGACGCAGCTCTTTGCGTCATGGCGTAGTGGACACTTCGACAGTTGATTTTATCGGTATGAAATTAAAAGTTGGCTAGAAATTGCGAAGGAATGCGGGGATTCCGAATGCAGATGTATTTTTGCAAATCAAAAGAACATGAGAGGATATTCAGACGTGAAGTTCCTACAATACAGCTGATGTAAATATAGACGCTGAAGTCGATCAAGATTTTTTTCGTCATGAATTGTGTGTTGTGTGGTTCTTTCCAGATTTGAAACTAAAGAATTTTATCGCGTGTATTACGCAATTTTGGCATACTCTCATAAAAAAATATAATCGAATCTCGGGTTTTTCTTGCCAGGCATTCGACGAGAAACGTGTCGATTCGTTCACGAAATGACGGTCCAGAAATATCGCCGAAGGACAATAGGAGGGAATGAGAAGCCCAAGAAAAACTGCTAATCTTCAAAAACTTTTGTTCTCTGAGATTCTGAACCCAGCATCATCTTTGACTTAACTTTTCCTGGCCAACCAAAAATTGCCTGATTCAGAGTAGAGTAATGGATCATCAAGGCCAGTCACATTAATTCATAAAATGTATGTAATTCATAAAAATCATCATCAGTCTGAGCCTAGCTGTTGTGCAGTGAACATTCCTTAAAAAATTAGCTTGCTGAGAGGTTCTTTTTGTTTTCTATTTTTGTGGCTTGAGCCTGTTCTGAAAATCTTCAACAATTGTTGGGACAATTTGAAATACAAATCTGAATTTATTTAGGGATTCTACGAAGAATTCCTTGCACTATTGTCCCAGGCTGAATCTTACTTCCACTATAATCTTTGATCCACAGCCATTATTTTCCTCCTCTTGATGTTTTCACCTTTGTCAACAACACCTCATTAAGAATCATTATTTCACATATGAAAACATAAGCTCAAACACTGATTTTCGATTGCATGTTCATATTCCATTTAAAAATAGCAAATCATTGAATAACCAAAGACACTGTTTTCACATGTCAGACAGTTATGATGGAAAGCTGGTTTAAAGAGCCCTAATGATTTCCAGGATGTGTGTTGTACGTAGAGAAGAAGCCATCTTTCTTTGAGTGTGTATATAGCTGCAAAATCCAAATCATATTTTGGAAAATATTACTAGTTTTTGATATACTGTATTCTTCTTCCGCTGATCTGAAGTTTTCTCAGACTTGGAATTTTCAGAAGAAATTTTCTAAAACTTTCGACAAGTTCAAGGCGTAAACCAAACACAGTACAGTACATTCAACCCATGTCTAACAGACTTAATTCGTGTAACAGACAAGTCTGTTAAACAAAAAGTCCTTTAGATGAATTCAAATATATAAAATATTAAAAATTAAAATTTTCAACACCAATTTTGAACCAAAAGAAGACTGTTTGGCGGAGTTTGTCTCCTGGACAGGAGAAAACCCTCCTGCAGAGCTGGTCTGTCAGGCAAATGTCCCTTCCACGGGAGGTCTGTTAGCCGGGGGCCACTGTATTGTACTTCGTGAACGTTTTTCTATGTGAAAAACCTGACTCAAACCGTGATTGTAAATAAGCAGCTCATTTATCTTGGGAAGTCTACCGCCAATATTCTTCCCGCGTGGGAAAAAAAAAGCGTGATTATGGATCATCCGTGTGCACATTCAATGCTTACGTTATTTTTTTCTAATTATGTCCTTCATGCTAATGAGTGTATGAATCCTGAACTATAGGATAGCCGTGTCTTAATCCTGACTGCTGCTTCCCACACGTGTGAGATGGACAGAAATTCCATGTCTTTTTGGCCCCTCTGAAATAGAGCATGACACGTATACCCGGGTATAGCTGATATCACTGGGCATATTTCCCGGAGGGGATGACTCGACCTGGGGGCGTAAGGAAGAAGAAGAACATCCCGTTTTTCTCTCGTCCTCGTCTGACAGCTTGTGGTTACATATTGAACTTCGTTAGCAGTAAACCTTGGGCAGACGATGAAGTCGGATATGCTGTTTCCGTGGCTCCCGTTTGAATCGAATGACTATATAGCTCTTTTCGTTGCATATATGAACCCAAAAAGTGAATGAATGAGGAATTGAACCTCGTTCGACAGGGTTGGAAAAAACTAGGCCGGTTATAGAAAGAAAATTGTCAGACAAGATGAAGGATCGCCGTGATTATGGATCGATAGAAAATGGTTTGAATGTTGATGAGATGCCTGCGTATAATTCCTAGGCATGCAGAATCGTGTTACAGTATATCCATTAAAATTTCGTTAAAAATCCTGGTTCGGAGTTTTCAACATAATTTGATCAACCCCAGACACTTAAAAATAAAAATAAAAATTGAACTGTTGAAAAAATAGCCAAGTCCAGAAATATACGTAATTTTTCTGTCGCAGCAGAAAAGATTTTGCAGAGCAAAAAAATTCTCCCGATGCTAAGTTAGTCTTTTTAAACTCTCAGAAAGAGGACTAATTTAGAGAGGTCTGTTGGACATTGTCAATTTTTCTCAATTGACTTTTCCTAAGATTCCGTTCAGGTGCTGTTTTGGCTGATGGTGACCTTCTGTTGAGCGAAAATGTGTCAGCAGTTTCTGTTTTCTCTTGCAAAGAATCCTGCGGCACAGAGATGCGATAGAAAACAATAATCCATGATTAAGAGCCAGATTCCTATTAGAAAGAGCTTCACATTTTTTATTCAAGATTTAATCGACGATAAGGGGCTTTGATTCCAAATACAGTATGTTTTTTCAAGTCGCTTTCTCAAAGTCTTTCGGAGACATCACAGTTCGAAAATATTTCACGATAAGGGGCTTTGATTCCAAATACAGTATGTTTTTTCAAGTCGCTTTCTCAAAGTCTTTCGGAGNTTCAAGTCGCTTTCTCAAAGTCTTTCGGAGACATCACAGTTCGAAAATATTTTTTACGTCCACGTCCTTCCTATATGAAAATCCGTACAACACACGTACCGCACCCTGATTTTTGGCAGTCATTTGAGGAAAGCTCTGTAAATGTGTCCATTTCCGAAATTTTGGAAGTCATAGAATGAAATTCAGCGCTGAAAAGACGTGTTGACCCCCAACTAAAATTAATTTTTTCTTGGACATCCAAGTGACACGAAGATCTCACGACTTCGGTAAAGAAAAACTTATAAAATGCCGAAATAACTTTGAAACACGCTATAAATTAACATGACGGGACAATGATTTATCTCATGTTTTCCAATCACTGGTCTAAGTGTGTTTCCATTTACACAATTCCGTGCATAAGTCGCAATTTCTATCCCGGAATATTTTTCGATTACTCGTCATATCCGATTTTTTTTTCTTTTTTCTTTTTGGATTGCTTTGAATTTTTGCGGAATTTAGCCGCATAAATTAATTATTCTGTGATTTTATTCAAAGTAATCAATGTAGACATCGACTATATTATTTCCTTTCGCGCATAAATGAAGAATACCGTGAAGAAGATTGAATTTTACATTTTGTGGTTGTGAGGAATAAGGTGGAATAATTGTAGTTGCGTTCGTGACCTTTAGTGAAAGGTTGTGGACAGAATTTTATCTTATACAGGGTGCATCATTTATGCAAATTTCCTTATGAGTCATCTGGCAGCATGCACACAATCGCCTTAGTTCGGAGTGCTACTGGAAAAATTATGAACCCGGAAGAAAATAGAGAATCGCAACACGGATTTTTCTCTTTTTCTCCCTCTGTCTCTCAAGAGATTTTTTCATCTTTTTTTTCTCTCTCTCTCTTCAAGATGAACCAATCTTCAGCAGCAGCACAATTTGCTCCAGCGGAAGCGAGATCTGCGAGCGAATTTCGCGTGCGGGGCAAAAACGGAAATGCATTCAGGATTATTTCGTTGTCCTTCTCAGTTCTCTATATGTATACGGAGGTCTTACATTCTTCGAATGTTTTATTTTAAATATCTGCAAAGACTGAAATCATCGAATTGAGAAATCAGTACGAAAAAAAAATTAAAAATGAAAAACGGCGAGGTTCAACACAATTTTTTCGTGCGCGTGAGAAGCTGACAAATTCCGAGTATTGCTTAAGCAAGATAAAAGCCACATTTCGCCAATTCACACATAATATTGCGAACTATGAATAAGCAAAATGTTTTGTTTGACCCTGAAGAAACATTTTCTGAATTTTTCGACCCCTTTCCGGCTTCCACGCGTTCGATTACGAATTATTCCGTAAATTTTTTCAGTTAACGTAGTGGTTTTTTTCAGAAGTAAATCCATTCTCAGAAAGATTAGCATCTTGCATGTTATGATTTTAGGGAAATTTTGAGTTGGTATTGGGTCTATATTGTACCTAAAATTGACAACAAATATTTTTTTCGCTGTCGGACCCAACTTTTTAAAGATCAAATGCTGTGAATGAACGAAAATATAAATCTGAGAAGTTCGTTAGTTCGTTCTGTCTATACACTGGAGGTAAATCCAAACAAATCCGAGTATTTTAAAATTGGTAACTATGATCGGCCAAAGACCGTGGTTTTATTTATTCATTGGTACAATCATTCCCCAATAAAGAAAAGTTTAAGAAAATTCCCGTCTACCTGCGTTTCATGCAATTCATCGCTTGTTTTTAAATGCTAACGGAATGAACGAGATCTTTTCGATACAATAAGTACTGGCCGAATCATCAAAGTTGATTGAAACCCAGCTCAAGAAATATCCAAAGATTAAACATATAGATAAATAATTCAATGAAAAAAAAAAAACAAATTGCGCAGCTTCCAGCGTGTATCGTGCATTCTTTTCTCTTTTTTTTCTGATGGTTTTAAGATGCCTTTTCTCGCTTTTAAACAGACTCAGCCCCAGCGGAGTGGTTGAATCCTTGGTCGACTCTGACGCGTCATCAGGTCCGGAGAAGAATCATCAATGACGTCGGGAATGCGACGTTTCAGTGCTGTGCCAAGCTCATTGCGGATTCGAAACCACCTGAAAAATGGAACAGAACAAAGAAAAAACAACACAGGGTGGGGTGAGGAAAGAAGACGAATGATATTGGAGTATAGGTCATGGAGAGCTTTCCTGAATTTTGCTCCGGTCCCGGAGGCATTAGAAATCGCATCAAGCTCAGCATTAGTGAGAAAGAAGGGCATTTATAATTTACAGAGGGATTTCCAGATCAGCAGGTAATGCTGTTTGGCTGCTGCATGGAAAGATACATCGAGCAGCCATCACCGGAATTTTTCGTTTTTTTTTTCTTTGTGTATTCGGGCAAAACAAATTTTGTCCAATTAACCCTAATTTTGCCTTGAACAATGAAAACAAGTGGCTGCTTACGAATAATCTACGGCACACGCGCTGAAGCTGTACATTATGCCATCAATCCATTTGAAGCAAAAAACACAATATATTTTTGAAAATAAAGGAATGAGATACGGTAGAGATAATTTATGTTGAATAAGTGCAGTATTCCTCACTGAATTTTTCTCCCTGACGACATTTAAAATGAAAATCTCAACAACAACAAAACATTGTCTGAAAATCTAATTTACGATATTTTTGATCATTTCAATTTTTTGACATATCAACAGGTTTCGGAAGGAATACATTAACATCCTGCCATCACAACCATAACTGTTCTCTTTGATATATTCAGTTGAAATTAATTTCTTGTCTACCATATTTCTGATAATTTAGATAACACCCAAATACTTTTCAAAAAAAATTTTTCCTGATTCTACGACTGCCTTTTTTAATAAACCTCAAATGCTCTGAACCAAAACTAAAATCCATGGAAAATACTTCAAGTTTTATTAGGAAGAAAAAAACCTATAGCACATATTTTCTACGTTAAAGAAATGGGATAAAAAGCTAAATAAAGGCAAAAAGATCTTTAATGTGGGTTTCCGCATTAAATATTATAAAGAGATTTAAAATCCCACGTACAGTACCTACCAAAGCTCGGTCATAAAGAGGTACATTAGCATATCTTATGGGGTTTGACTTCTACATGCAAAACTAAGTCTGAAAAGTGGTTTACATTTCGAAACTGGCATGAAGATTTCATGTTTCAGGGTAAATAATTTTCGAGCCTATTTGCGTTGAATTTCGTTGCCCTTCATGGGTTCTGGTCGATTTTGAAGGATCGTTAGCTTGTTTAAAAACTGACGTCAGCAGTTTTAATTATGCTCAATCTTAACCCTAGTATTGTCTTCGTCAAAAATCAAAATTCTGCTTCAAAATACTTTGTTCCATTTGCGTCAAGTCTTACAGATAACCCTGCTTCTTTTCTTCGAGCAGAGATTGCTAAAAATAGTCGCGCTCATTCCATCCGGTCTTTTCTTTTAAATTATTTAACGAAACCCATCTGAAGTCAACAAATAAGCAGCCTCTTTGACCCCCGGGGTTTCACCTCTGTCGTCCATTCCATTAATATTCACGCGTGATCTCGTGAGTGAACTGAAGGGTACACATTATCATCAGTAGTTCTAATAAGATGCTGAAACGCCTATTCATATGTCGTGTTTCAAGCATAAAAGCTTTCCGCTGTAAAAATCTAAAGTTCAAGCATCTCTGACTGGTTTCGAATAATTCATGAATTTAATAAGTAAATCCGTCGCCAGAAGATCAATCACATGTTTTTAGTGATTACATATGATTTTCATCAAGGTACGAAAGGCTATGGCAGGGAATCACGATGTCGTATAGTTTTTCATAAATCCATCTGCCCATACAAAATCGGACAAATAGCAGAGCATTGAATGTATTTAAAATTGCATTAAACAAAGGTCACATCAATAAGCTGGAATCGAAATCTTGGACCGAAAATCACATAAATGATTAATTTCGTAACTCTATACACCCTGTGACCCAAGTCTAAATTGCTATATCATGTATGCTGTGGCTCAAGATGAATGTTAATGATTTTTTCTGCTTGAATTAAAATACGAGCAGTCCTATGCATAATTTTTCGCATCCTTTTTTGGCTGCTTTGGAAAGCTAAAATTCGATGTCCGAAAAGCACATATATATTTTTGAGGATTCCTTCAAAATTTTACTGATTCACACAATTCATGAGATAGTCAAGATGATCTTCACTTCATGGTGAGGACTTCGTTTTGGACGAATGGATTTTTTTAATCTTTCGGAAAGCTTTTCTGCTTTAAAGCCGATATTCAGAAAGTGATTGAGTTCGTTCGGCGACTTAAAATTGAAATTGTAAAAAGTATTTTCTCACATTCGAATGCGCATATACAGAAATGATTACTTAAAATGTTGAAAGTAAGATTTTTGGATTCAATTTGAAATTAGATTAAGTATTCTTCGAATTTACGCGGATGATGACCGAGTTTTTTCCAGGATCATTATTTTCCCGTCCAATCTGGGATCAAGCTTAAAGAGAATAACAGAGTATTGAAAAATGAAACTTTGAAGCATAAAAAGAATGGATTTAAAATCGAAGATTTATGAAATAAATAAGGATGGTGTTGTGAAGTTAGTCGACTGGTTGTACAACAGTCCAGTCAACCACCTGATGCTGAACAATTCCTAATTTCTCAGGAACAAGTTTTTTTTTTTCTTACACAAACGAAACCCGTTTCATTAATTTCTTGCAATGACCGATGATTTTAGCTTTTCAAAATATTGCAGTACTGTACTAATTTTAAAGGCAGTCAAAGATTTTTTGCATAACCAGGATTCTCTTTTGAATTCATACCTGGAACGGGCTTCGTTGTTGCCTTCCAACAGATCTTTGATCATACGCGACAAAAGCATCTGCTGATGTTCGGCTCTCTGCAAATATGCTGCTGCTGGCTCAAACGCCAGTCTTTTAGCCTTATTGCCCCCATCATTGCGAAGCAGTAATTTGCGCACAAATTCTTCCGGCGTGATTCGCATGTGCGGAATGGTTGGCGGGTCTCGCGGCAAACGTTCGACAGCCCTTTTCACGCCAGGCGTCCCAACTAATGCCTCAATTTCAGTGTCGTCTGCGTCGTTGATCTTGTTCTGGTGGTGATTATCATCATCGTTAGTATCTTCATCGTCGTCGGGATCGTGTTCGTCTGGGAATTGCGTCAGTTGTGAGTCGTGGTCGATGGCCATGAGTCGGGCCAGACGCGACACTTGGGTTTCCACTGAGGAATCTTCCAATAAGTCGTTTTGCTGCAATTGTTGTTGTTGTTGTTTTTGTGGTTGTTGGTAGGATGCACCGGTGTCATGCACGAGCTGACAAAGGAGCAACATTCCAAGCACGATTCGAATGCATTTTGCCTTTGTGCTGCTGCAGTTCATCATGTTGATTCTGGCTCTGGATCCTGAGCAAAAAATATATGAAAGAAAGAAATATGTTTCATTAGGTAAACGAATATAAAAATCATAGCTCATAATGATGAATAACATATACAATTGTTCCCCTACCCTGTTGGGCCTGTGGACCGATAAATATTTGTTAAAAATTATTTGTATAGAAGGACAAATTCCCACGAGATTTTAGCAAAGCAGCAGTTTTTTTT